CTACAGAGCACATGACATACAGCAGCTGTTGAGATGGCAATGACAGCTTGCTTGCACAATGCTGCAGCAAGAGAGAGGAAACAACTACTACATGCACAATGCTGTGTGAAGAGAGAGATGTGGGTGCAGGGAGAGCGTGGGTGAGAGAGCAGTTGAATCAATGTTGTTGGTCTGCTTCTTCTCGCTTCCACACATGTTACACACGCTCCGGCCACGACTCTCTTCTGTGCATTTCTGTGTTACTGTGTATTAGAGCGGCTCCTTTTCTTTGGCACTTTCGTTTTCATTTGCTTTCGGTTTCTGTTTCTGCTTCGGTTTGCTACCGCTGTTGTTTTAATTTCTGATCGATTGCGTACGGTTTAATTCAACTCTTGCACTCTCAGACACACGCACACTCAGACACTCGCGGGTCTCATTCGCGGACTCTCGAGTCAAAGCAAAGTCGCTCGGCAAAATCTTGAAAGCAACTGAACAAACTGTAAAAACGACGGCCGACAACAAACGGCACCGATGCTGAATTACTCAAAGCATAGCCAAGCCAACTCAAACGGAAAACTCACTCGCGTCGCGTCGCGTGTCTATGTAGTCGAGTGTCTCGACCCGAGCGATACCTGGTACTCAAAGGAGGCCATTGTGGATACTCTGGGTATGTACTTTCTGGATGTACAGGGTTTTATATGGAGGAAAGGGCATTCTCCACAACTATTCTGACATGTACGCAGTATCCAAAATACATTAAGGTTTGAGCAGAAGTGCCAGCCTCGCCTGGGAACCTGTTTTCCTGATTCTGGTTGTAATAATGACCCGATATCGATGACAGTACTATTCTACAATTCTATTCTATATTTCTACAAAATCGAATCCCCCGTATATGCAAATTGTGGATGCCAAGCAACACTTGATCTAATCGGATGTCATAGGACCTATAGATATAACTCTCAGGTCTCTTGGGAACAATTTCTTCGGTATTACATTCCATATACCCTTGATTTTTACGAGTATAAAAACACCTTGCAGCTTACGCAGCAACGAACAAAATAAGCCACAGAGATCTTTCTCTCTCTCTCTCTTTGTCTCATTTTCACTCTGATCTTTTGGTGTTTTGAGTGGTTTTTTTTTGGTAGATGAATCACTTGACTTTGAAACGAAAACTAAAATTAGTAAAACAACAAAAACAAAACAGAAAATGAACAAATTGAAATTGCTTTTATTTAATCTGTTTTGTTTTGATCGCTATTTGACTGTCTTGGATCTTTTGGATCAAAGGTTAACTGCATACATAGAATCCACAGGTCCGATACCACAAAGGTGGAGAGATAATCAAAAAGAAAAGGCCGAAGGCCCCCGACCTGTGTCAACCTGTGTCAGAACTGGTTCTGCATTACCAATAAGCTTTTAACGTGTTTTTTGTGCTGTTTGGACTTCCGCACTGGAACTATAAGACCCCTAATTTATGGGATCATATCACCCATCAATATCAATCTAATCAATCAATGGTGGCTCAGATGCCGATGCCCGCAGGCGATCACCACAGCAATTATTGTAGCATATCGTTCGTAATCCCCCTATACAGGTGCACATACTCGTTCGTATATACTGAATCATGATACAGTGCGTTACGAGACCATCAGACCAACAGATCGGATTCAAATAAAACCTTCCATGAAGAAATACTAAAAAATATATAATAAATAGAAAGTTTTTATTGAAAAAAATTTACTTAGTATTGGCTTGGATTGAATTATAAAATGTTCAAGAAGATAAATGTTTAGATATCGATACGTTAAATTGCAATAGTGATTGAATATAGATTTATAGTCAAAATAACCCAACGAAATATGGTCGACGAAAAATACGCATTTTAGTGAGAGAGTATTGGAGAGATAGAGAGCCACACTGAGTTTTCTATTTTCAATCGCATTCACATTATGAAGTACACAAATTATTGAATTATCAAATCGAATTATTTGTAAATGATGTTTCATATTTAATTATGTAGTACCAATGAACAGATGTGTATTCATACTGAAATCTCAGTGTATATTTAACATCATTTTACTAATGCTTTATATTATTTCGGGGGATTTTCCTGTCTTACACTTTTGAAACGCGCTATCTATACATTATAGGTACATAAATATATATATGCATATCCATACATACAAACAATGTGTACGCATACAGAGTATACAAACAAAGTATCGTGTCTGGCAATAAATAGAACAGTCTTCGAATGAAAACCACTAACGCCCACCGCCAATAATTGGTTATTCTGTCGCCTCAATGGGAACAATGATCTAATGAATGAGTCGCGTAGTAAGGCCGTCGACTACCAGATACCAGATAGTAATACGAGTGAGTCCCACACCTCCACACCCAACAGCAGACTCCGCTTACCGATTTTCATTTCAATTTATTCACTTTTCTTGCTGTCAGCAGCAGGTCACTCGTTTCTGCTGCAGGTGAGAGATACGATACGATGAAGACCGCACGGCGTCGCAGTGCACACTGAATTGGAAGTATTCAAATGAAGCTCCGACACCTGGAGAATCGACTTGGCATGCAATCGAGGTGCTGCTCGTCTTTGGGTAATTAATAGAACTCCCAACAAAATGTAAACTAAATGCTGCAAAGCGTGTGGGCCAACAGTGGCACATGAATTTCATGGGCGAGCCTCGCCTCTCGATGATGGAAAACTTCGGGTAACCGAAATTTATTTACCCTTCTAATGGGAGAAGAAAAGAAATGGGATCGCTGTAAAATATACAACGAATGGGCCACATTCCTTTCGTACTTAGAGCCAATAAAATCATCCAGGAATGTAAAATGTGCTGCTAAGAGTCTCTCGACGCCCCCGCTCTCCCGCTCAGCAAGAATAACGGCCAGCAAAGTAAGGTAGAAAGTAAAGTAAGGCATGGCATAGTAAACTGTGAACAACTTCGTAGTCAATTTATACTCGACCAAAATACACTGAGAATAATCTTACGATCAAACAAATACCAAAACCTTTAAAAAATAGAGAGACGAACGTTGCTTTTCGTACCTGCTAGCATAACCAGGAAGGTAGGCTATCCCAGGCAGACAGGGAGCGGATGATGTGCATCTTTTGTGTTAAAATTACGTCACCCCTATGTGTGTATGTGAGTCTTTTCTTGTTTACATAGCCGACGCGTTGGGTGTTTTGCTGTTAACTTTAATAGAGATTGCCTCTGTAATGCCTCTCAATTTTCGTGTATTTCTGTACTCTCTAGATTTTCTTATACTCGTATTCCGATTGGTTTTAAACACCTTAAACACCCTTTTCAGAGTATGTTTCTGGAAAATTTAGTATGAGATTTGAGGACCAAGGATTCTTCCATCACATCAAGGCATGCAACGCCTTTATAACGGCGAAAGTCAGACAAAAGTATAAAGTACATGTCTCCGTTTTGCAGCAACATTGCCCATTTTTTGATTTTTATTTTTTTTATTACATTTTGATGGAGATTTGGAATACATATGCTTATGTGTTTGGGGCACGCCCCGAAATGGGGAATTTAATACGAGTTGTGGCCAAAACCCCAAAAGTATGCCCCAAATATTTTCACAAATGCCACAATTTATTTTGCATTTTAATCAAAACGGTCTCATAATGTGCTGTCCCAGGGCCGATGTTCGGCAACAACCGTTTTAATCGCAAAATCTCTTGAGCTTTATTTCAAGTTACGCATATTTCAAGACTCAGATTGCTTTTCAAGAACTCCATAACCCTCCAATATCCTCACAGACCCCTTGCTTTTCACACTCTGTTTAAAAGACCTGCCTTCAAAGGAACAAACTCCCCGAGTACTCATATATACGGATGATATAATCCGATCACACTCGACACTCGTGGCTCTCTTAAGAGAACTATCCAGACAATCTTATTCTCTTGATCGATGCCTCTGCCCTCCCATGCGTCATATACTAAAATCCGAACCTCTGATTAGCACACCCTTGGCAAATAAAATTTAAAATTAAATTAAAATTAGATACTACCGCTTATCGGTGCCCGTGATTTAATTCTCCCCAATACTTGCTGATTGCATAATTTCTACTGAACTCGACTAATTCGTATTCAGCTATCTGAACTTTCTTTGTTCCATGCAGCGATACGAAACCCGAAATTGCATCAAACAAAAGAAAGACAATGAGTGTGGTGAAATGTTTAGCAATTGTAATTTTAACGAGAAGGAACGTGCGAGTCGCTTCTGGGGACGCGACTCTACTTATACCCGTACTCAGTCAGTATATACATTTTTGAGCATATGATTTTTTAGAATATTAGAATTTTAAAAAAAATGTTACATTTTACATTTTTTTGCTACATCTGTTATCTACATCTACAAATATTATGTATATTCTACATCATACATGTAGATTATACATGAACCATTTAGATTCTACATCTCCTCCGCTAGGGGTTGCTCGCGCACTGAACGCGTCATAGTGTGCGAGCGAGAAGGAAAATGAGTTGCGTTGTTGTTGTCAGGAGGGGGCAGGGGAAGCAACTGAAAATTAATTTCTTCATTCTGGCTATAATTATGATCTGATCTGATTCAGATTCGGCAGTCTGGTAGATATGGGCATTCTCTACGATACTGCGATTTTAGTTTTAGCGTATCTTTAAAAATGTGCCTGGCACAGATTTTCGTCTTTTGTGAGGGCGGAAGGGGGCGGGGCGAAATTTTGAAATACACTTGTGGAGTGCAGTGGAATATCACATGAGTCTGGAAACCAAATTTGGTTGCCCTAGCTCTTATAGTCTCTGAGATCTAGGCGCTCAACAGGACGGACAGACGGACAGACAGACATAGCTATATCGACTCGGCTATTGATGCTGATCAAGAATATATATACTTTATGGGGTCGGAAACGTTTCCTTCTCTGCGTTGCACACATCCACTTTTACCAAAAATCTAATATACCCCTTAACTCTTTTTTGAGTACGGGTATAAAAACAGACATTCAACAGAAATTCTTGCACGTAGCCCTCAAGTCACAGTCGGAGCGGTCAGTGGGCAGAGAAATGCTGAAGTATACGGTTCTATTCCTCGTTTTGGTATCCAGCGCAAAGGAGGGCTGGGGCCACGAGGAGTTCACCATTGAAATAAATGACGGTAAGGCTCCAATGTCAAGTCCAGAATCCGATGGAAGTAACGAGATTCTGTGGGAACAGGTAATCACATCGGAGTTGTCCTGAAATCGGAACCATTCACCAAAATCAACGATGGATACTACTTCTTTGGGAGGGAGAGAGTGAACTGGTACGTGGCCTACGAGAAATGCCGGGAGCTGGACGCCGAATTGGTTACGTTCGAGACAGACGGGGAATTCGATGCCATTGCCCGGTATCTAAAGGCTAATGCAGATCGCGAAAACTACTGGACGTCTGGGAACGATCTGGGCTGCACGGGAACCCACAAATGGTTCACCAATGGCCAGAGGATCAACAGTCTGAGATGGGCTCACGACCAACCCGACAACGCGGGGAACAGGGAGCATTGCATTCATTTGGGCTACGTATATAAGGACTCCCAGGCCTTCGAACTGAACGATCGTCCTTGCGCCGGCGACGGAAACAGTCTTTTCAGGTTTGTATGTGAAGCTCCCAAACTTAAGACAATATCGATTGTTGTGTGGAAATAGATCGGAATAGTTTTGGTTTAGTAAAATTCGATAGTTATATACTTAATAAACGGGAGATCTTTTGTACACTTGATCTTAATTGCAATATGGTCATAAATTAAATTTTTTGCTATAAATCAAACATTTGCTCGTTGCGAATGGTCTTCTTTCGTGTCATTCGTGTACCTCTATTACGTTGATAGATCGTGGAAAAAGGATTACTGGCTTGAAGCCACCACCAACCTCGGTCGGAGGTCATCTGAAGGAGCCAATACCATGTGAATCGATAACCGATCTCTGCTAAAGGACTTGAATGGGGAATACTAAGATGGATACTTACAACCAGGCAGGATGCCTTTGCTCCGAGCTGTGCGATATGGCTGTCGCGCTCCTGGGTCAATTTTTCCGTACATTGTTCTATCCATTGTTTCGATGGAGGCATTCACTTTCTGCTCACTTTGTTCTTTGGGGAAGTCAATAAATAACCAAGGAACTGTCTAATGACATTTTTATTTTGTATCTGATGTTTGTGTTTCTTTTATTTTTGTTGCTTTTGTGGCTGGCTACCGGCAGCTAAAAGTTTCATTTGAATTATTTATAAGCGCATTTTTATTTTTGGCCTTTCGGGGCTCGACGACGGATTTGTAGTTTTGTTTGCATTGAGTTTTTCCTGTCAGTGTGGATTTTGTGGATGTTGTCGATGTCGTTGTCGTTGTCTACAGAGCTTTGCCCCCGAGTCAAACTAAAGAAAGCGACTTCATGCTCAAACCAATGGTTGTCTAGGGAATATGGTGCATTTGAGATAATGACGCGATCGATGAAGAGATATTTTGGATAGAAAAACATTGAAGTTGATTGCCAATTAATCCACGGAGAGCAATTTGAGATCAGAAGAACTCAATCAGTGAATGATTTGAGATGAAGGGAATATCTCTTCAGCTGAAGATTGTGATGGGGATCCCTTAGACCAATATATCACAGAAATCACTAAACTGGATCCAGAGGAGTGAATTCTCTTTATCTTTGCGATCACCAGATCAAAAGCCAGATAGCATGATCTATAAATCCGTTCAACTAAAGAAGAAAGAGAGAAGGTGCGTGCGTGGGTGATTCTCAATAGATGATCTATGGATCCAACGGAATTTACGATCAACTGCAGATACATACGTATACATACTAAATCTATGCCCAGATCAAGTTGAGCGCCAAACGATCCATAAAGACAGATTTATGGAATCATAAAAATACCCAAACGAACGTGCAGGCCACACATTTTGTTTCGTTTCGCATTTGTTTCAAACAAAACACACAGAGACGACACATTGGAAAAGGTAAAAAATAATAAACATAAATTCTAAAACTAAAAACAAAGCAACACCAAAAATACACCCAACGGGTTGGGAAGGGAAGGGAAAGGCAGGAAAGAAAAGAAAAAGGAAAGGATAGGAAAGGGAGGGGAAGGGAAATCAAGGTTGCCAAATTACGTCAACACCAATGATTGGCAACTAAAAATATACCCAAAACCAAAAACAAACAAAAAACAACTACAATTTCTAGCAAATCAAAGGCGACGTCTCGGTCGTCGTCGTTTTTGGATCTCTTCTCTGGCATGAGAACGAGTCCGTGACTAACGAAGGGAGACCCAATCTAGGGAAAATGGGGGAAAATTAATTGAAAATGCCGCAACAGATTTCCGCAGAGCCTTGCCAAAAAGGAAAGAAAGGTGAAAGAAGCCTTCGAAACTCACTTTCCACGTTCCAGGCCATTTTATAAACAAATAAGTTTCCTTCTGACCGACAGACCGACAGACAGACCGACCGAAAGCACACCTGGGGGGAGCGGGAGGCATTACATTACTCCGTGCGGATATATGATGGGCATTGACGTTCGTTGGCAATTTTTTCGGCAAACGGTCTGGGGTCTGCCTTCTACTACGAGTATTTTTAAAAGTCAAAGGCACGAAAGGAAATTCCACGAGATCGGTGCGATCTCAATATAAATATTTTATTAGCAAGTAGATAAAATGTGTGCGTGAATGCGGCTTTCGTGTGTTGACCTTGCTGAAGGCGCAAGAAGGTGAGAAGAACAGAGAGCGTGGGGAACAAAAACGGAACTGAGTACACACCGAGAGATCTTTGGGCAGATATTTGAACTGATCTTTGGATATCTTTGGCCTTTCTGTTGATAAACTTGGCCAATTTATGGCAACGCATTGGCCCTGGAAAACCCCTTCGGGAGTCTCGCTTCGTGATAAGATTTGGAGACTATGCGTCACAGCCCTAAAATGTGTATCGTTTGGCAGGTATTGGTATTGTGGTATTGATTGGTAAGGAAACTATGTACTCAAGTCCAGCATTTAACGAGGAGTTAAATGCACTTTGCAGTGAACTACAAGGAATTGAAAATATATGAGAGATGTTCGTGATCATTATCCAGTAGAAAGAAACAACAGAAAGAAACACTAATTGAAATTGAATGGCTTAGAGATAAGAATCATTGTGTTAAATGTGCCTGAGAGCGATCAAGAGAGATGGAGGGAATGGGAATAGGAACCTGCTAAGCAGCAATCGAAATTCGAACAGCGATGAACTCATTGCACTAAGAACAAGCAGCAGTGCTAAGTAGTACGAGATTAGGCGTGGACAGAGATGAGAGATGAGCTTAAAATGGAAACGTTCGACAGATCAGCGATCAGAGAGGATCGGCGTAATGAAAGGGCAGGGCAGGCCGAAGGGGATCTCATAAGTGCATTCGATTGAACACCACAACGGCAACGAAATGTTTATTTGTGAGCACTTTGTCAGGCGGTTGGGCTTACATCATTCTCCAGCATTTCCATTTGCTTTCGTAACCCGAGATACTTTTGTAATGTTCCCCCTTTGAAACGAGGGGAAGTCGTAGCATCGCTACACCCTCCCTCCCCGATACACTGCTCTGTTTCTTTCGAGTGCATAAAATATGTGAAATATGTCATAATTTTAATAGATTAAGTGGGCACAATTTAATTGGTTTTGTTGTTGATTTTGGTGGTGGTATTTGGTGTTTCGTTCGGAGCATTTCCCCTCCAGAAATACCCAAAACAAATTTCCATCCCAACGCCTACGATCTAATCCGTTTGGTCGGTCCCCCCATAAAATTAATGACGGCAACCAAGCCTCTATGCGCTGCCACATGGGGGCAAATACCTCATCTATCTAGATGTCTTTTAGCTTTCTAATTGGATCCATAATTAGTGCAAATTAAGATGTTTTGAGGAAAACATTGTCCACTCTTATACGACCGACGGATCCGTTAATCTGAACAAATCCCAAGTCCCCAATGCGATTCACATTACCTTTGGACCTAATTTGATTTATCTAGATTTTAGCTACTGGAGACATTCCCCGCTTATCTATTATCTCTTGTCTTTGCTTTTCGGTTTTTTATCTGCTTTTTGTCAGATTTCTTGCTTTTCTGCTCTGCTGTTTTTCTCCGAGCAAAGTAAACAATTTCCCACGCTACCACCTGCCGCAATATCACAAACCAAGTTGCGATGATTTTTCATCTATTTTTTTTTATATTTTTTTGTTTTACTTCTTCACGCGTATTTGAACATTGATCACTGGACTTATTGACAGCGTTAGCTGGTTTTTATTGAATTCGCTTTTTTTTCGGCTTCTGTACTCCCATACTCCCGATCTTCCGATTGCACTTTTTCCACACTTTACAATGCACTTTGACAGTTTGTTGTCTCCAATATTTTGCTAGAATCGACGACACGCGCGCGCGTCGCGCTCTCTATTGAGTTAAAGGCGTCGCGAGCGACTGAAAACGAAATGGGACCCGACCCCATCAATTGGGAGCGGAGCTCCATTAGAAATAGTCCGCTCTCTGAGAGCCCCACCATAGAGAGAGAGAGAGAGAGGGAGAGGTAAACAATCTGCTGGCGCTGTGAGAGCCAGCCGATTTTCGTTTTGCCTGTGGCAGCCGAAGCATCGACCAGACCGCAAGTGGGAGTCACACGGAAAAGGAAACCAAAGCGGAGACAAAGATTGTCGTACGTTTGTTGTTTGTGCGTGTACACAGTGTGCCAAGAGTGATTTGGAAAGAAAGCTACCTTCCGCGTAAGTCAAATCATTTTAGCGATGAGCTCGAAATATTGCATTAGCGGAGCTAACAGTGTATGGACTGCGGTTTCTGGGTGATTCCATTAAATATCGTCTTTTGTACCAATGTGTTGCTGCACTCCAACGAACGCCAACGACCCTTAAATCCAGACATAACCGATCTGATCTCAAAAAATCATCCCAGACAGCTGCACAGTCAACAGCTCTTACAGTGCACACACGCAACACGAACAGACCCTGGTCTGTTGCTTGCGTGTCGAGTGGGTAGGCTCCATCAATGAAGTGGGCGCGCACTCACTAATGGCTGCAAAATTGATGCAATGTAATTGTGGCACAAGACCGAAAAGAAGAGGAGCAATCAGTTTCCTGTATGGGAATGGTATGATGGTGATGGTATTCTGCACTCGTTCGTTAATTGATTATTTTTCATTGGATGCCGACCCACTGTGCGTAGGTGGATTGTCGGTCAGCTGGAATTTTGGAGTTGCATTCGCGTGTTTTTGTGTGACCTGGCCTTTCTTTACTTTACTCATTTCTCAAGAATGTCTGATCAGCCAGAAACAAGCTTGCACACACACAACGACTGGAAAACAGCGAAGAATTGTGTCATAATGAAAATAAAGTAAGCTTCCAGATACACTTATGAGACGACAACCTTTTTTTTGCTGATGATGACTAAAAGTCGTTCCAGAGAATCGAAATGGAAGGAGAGAAAACAAAACAAAACAAAACAAATAAGAACAGAAAACCAGAAAGTTGGATGTTCGCCCAGATCATTAACAATCCAAGGGTTCGGTTCGCGTTCGGGAATCGGGAAGAACCACACCCTCGCATACTGGAAAGTGACGACGAGACGATATCGGTCTATTTGCTATATTCAGGAATGAACAGAGCAAGGAATGCAAATCTTAAACAAGCAATGCGCCTAGTACATGTGAATAAGAAAAAAAAAAAGTCTGATTGGTAATCACTTGGGTTGATTAGCAAGATAAGAATCCAATCTCCGAAATTATTCATCGCCACTTGGCGGCCGTTTTCGTTGCCTGGCACCAGCCTGGAATGCTAATTAACTCTCCGCCACGCAACTTAACTGACCTTGAGCTGCAGCATAAGTTTGTGGTTTGGGTACGTATGCTATGCACTGCTGGGCTGGGGGGAAAAGTGGTTTCACTCACCTAAGTCATCCATTGTGTTTGCTAGTGTGTGTGTGTGCTGTTCCAATTTCCAATTGGGATGGGGATGTCACCGCACAGTTGACTCAAGGAGGAATGGAATTGGGCACCAGCAGACGAGTACCTAATTGATTTTGATTGATGGTGGAGAAAATTTTAATCCACGCAAACACTTTTTATTTGCACCTCTGCCGTCGCGACTCGTGGAGTTTGAGCTCTTCTCTTGGATAAGTGAGTTTCGGTTCGAGACGAGTTTATATGAATCACAATTTTGAAAATGAAATTTCCAATTCGATATTTCCCAATTGCGGACAAACGGTATGGGATTTTCCCCAATTGAGCACAAACGGTATGGGATTTTTCCCAATTGTGCATAAACGGTATTGGAATTATACAAATCCAATTGGAGCTCACTTTTTGACGAATAAATGAGCGGCCATAAACATAAACCATCATATATGCAGAGATGGGGGCCAGCTGATTTAACGATACTATCGCGAACCGAACATATTCTGATAGTTCGCACTCGTATTACACAGCACTACTCTGCAATACCGCCACTAGAAAGTAACTGAAATTGCGGCGACAGCTCCCAGAGGTCTTCAGCTCTATTTCAACCAGAAATTATTAAACGCATAAAACTAGAATGCGTGAGAATACGTGTGCACGCAATTTATATTCAAATACGCTGTAACCTCAGGAGCCGAAGACCTCTGGGAGATGTCGCTTCGGATTCGATTGACCTGGCACAACGATACATTCGTGCTAGTGTTGTTTTTTTTTAGCTATTCTTATATCCTATATGTCTACATGATTCTATATCTCACTCTCCCTGCATGCTTTTCACATAAAGTTTTTTTTACTGGTCTCAATTGAAGAGTGAAATTTTTGCATTATGTACCACCATTACCACTAATAGTCCAATTCCATTTCAGAAGAGCCTAAGATGAACCTCTTGCAACTCAACGACGACTGTTTGGACAACATTTTACTTCATTTTGGATTCGACGAGCTACTGCCGCTTTTTAGTGAAGTCCACACACGTTTCGATGAGGCCATTGAACGGCAACTGCACCGATTTCGGGACTTGGAGTTCACTATGCGGCACCCTCCTCCCTTTCAAGAGGAGTTGTTGCTTTTACTAGGTCGCCATTTGAAGAGCCTGCACATAACCGTGGGCTACTCGACCAGCGACAAAGATATCCTTCGATATCTCAATCCCCTGTGCCAGGGGGCGTCGGAGACTCTCCGCCTACGTGCCCTTAAATTGGACCATGCCAAGTGGTCGCCCGATATCGTGAATGCTGTCTGTAAGGTTGCACGCTCCCTACTCTTCTTGGACATGCGTCACTGTGATGTGCGGGATTATCAGATAACACGGCTCTTGGAATCGGCGGATAAGATGGAGGCTCTTGCTCTGCTGCATGTGCACAATCAGACGGGAGAATCTTATCTGCAATACAATATACTCAGCAAGGTGCCAGCCTTAAAACTCATCCACATAACGATTCTCGGAATATTGCCGTTTTCACCTGAGGAGCTGTCCCAGCAGTGCCCGCGCCTCAGCTTTTTGATTAGCGACTTGATCAACAGGGAATTCAAAATATACGGACCAACAGCTTACCTACAAAACTACTATAAATATTACCATGAATATTTCAAGACCCACTGAATGTTACAACCAAAAAATGTTAAATGATCTCAAAATAAATCCGTAAAAATAACCGAAAATATGTATTCAGTTCATGCTGAACCAGTTCGCATGTAATATCTTATATCATATCTTATCATATCTTCATTTCGTATTTGCAGGAATCGACCTTCGATTTGCCAAATTCTGACTTTACCACCATTGGTGTTGCCAGCTCATTCGCCTCTTCTTGTCCTCATCTTTGGCATCACTTCCAATCCTGACCAGGTCTCCGTAATCTGGAGCGACGGATTGAGCCCGGCTGGCACGGTGAACATTGTGGAGGAGCTGCCCACATTGATTAAGTTCAGGTTCAGCAGCTTCAAGTACAGGGCATTGTTAAAACGATCCGATTTCTCCGTTTTCACTGTGACCAGGTGCACCAAAAGGTCAAGAGTCTATCCTGAGACGCGTATGTCGGCCAAGTGGACGAACCGGTAGATATTGTCCTGCATCGCTGAAGTGATGCAGCGCCTTGAAGACTATCCTATCTTGTGAATGGGATCGCATAGCTAATTCACCAGAAGAATTTGTTCCATCTCGAAAAGGAGTGTCGCGGTCACGATGGAAGCATTTTTGTTATGCTTTTCTTGTTCTTAAATGGCCCGTTTATCTGCACACCTGTTGGTGCTGCACTGCCTCAGGCACGGCATGCTTTTAGTTGGCAATTAGCTAAATTTAAATATTAATAAAACCAAGTCCGAGTAGAGCAGAGTTAGTGGTTTAACTCAAGGTGTTAACCTGTTTAAATAGAGGGGGGTTTAGTGGGCTAAGGCTGTTTTTTCTTCTCGGTATATTTACGGTATATCTTGAAAATGAAAAGTTATATTTCAGTATAATTCTATAAAAACTATGTTTTTGACCAAATTCTTTTATTATATTCTTATAAAAGTTATTTAAAAACTCTTCGGGACATAATGGGTTAAGCTTACACAAATGAATCTGCTGTCAGCTGCTAGTGTGCGAGCGAGAAGGAAGTACCAAAAGCAAACTCCATTTCGCAAATTAGGTTTAATCCGCGTTTTCTTTTATTGCTGCACTGGAAAATACTTCTAAAACAAGTCAATTTTCATCTGGAATAACAATTTCAGTTCACCAATTGCAATTAACCAATTTGTGAGATCCAGGGGCTAACATTATTTGTAGCCGGCATTCTGGCGAAATTCAATTAATTTCTACTTTGGTATTAAAAAAAACAACTTAACAGGCCAAGTTAAGTGCATTGATTTCACAATGGTGGTGCGCTCTTACAATGATGAGCTCAAGTATCTGGAGAAGATCAACGACCACTGCTGGAGGATCAAGAAGGGCTTCCAGCCGAACATGAACGTCGAGGGCTGCTTCTATGTTAACAGCCGCCTGGAGCGTCTCATGCTGGATGAACTGAAGAATTCGTGCCGTCCCGGAGCAGTGGGTGGCTTCCTGCCCGGCGTCAAGCAAATCGCGAATGTGGCCGCCCTGCCAGGAATTGTGGGTCGCTCAATCGGCCTGCCTGACATACACTCCGGCTATGGATTCGCCATCGGGAACATGGCCGCTTTTGACATGGATAACCCGCTGTCGATAGTGAGTCCTGGCGGCGTGGGCTTCGACATCAATTGCGGGGTCCGCCTGCTGCGCACCAATTTGTACGAGAAGGACGTGCAGCCCGTGAAGGAGCAGCTGGCACAGTCTCTGTTCGACCACATACCTGTCGGCGTGGGCTCAAAGGGCATCATTCCGATGAACGCCCGCGACCTGGAGGAGGCCCTGGAAATGGGGATGGACTGGTCGCTTCGCGAGGGCTACGTCTGGGCCGAGGACAAGGAGCACTGCGAGGAGTACGGCCGCATGCTGAACGCCGACCCCGCCAAGGTAAGCATGCGGGCCAAGAAGCGTGGGCTGCCGCAGCTTGGAACACTGGGCGCCGGCAACCACTACGCCGAGATCCAGGTGGTGGACGAAATCTACGACAAGTGGAGCGCCTCCAAGATGGGCATCGAGGAGAAGGGCCAGGTGGTCGTCATGATACACTCGGGAAGTCGCGGCTTTGGTCACCAGGTGGCCACCGACGCGCTGGTGCAAATGGAGAAGGCCATGAAACGCGACAAGATAGAGACCAACGATCGGCAGCTGGCCTGCGCCCGCATCAACTCTGTGGAGGGACAGGACTACCTCAAGGCCATGGCGGCGGCGGCCAACTTCGCCTGGGTCAACCGCAGCTCCATGACCTTCCTCACACGCCAGGCCTTCGCCAAGATGTTCAACACAACTCCGGACGATCTCGACATGCACGTCATCTACGATGTCTCGCACAACATCGCCAAGGTGGAGAACCACATTGTGGACGGCAAGGAGCGCAAGCTGCTCGTCCACCGCAAGGGCTCCACGCGCGCCTTTCCTCCTCACCATCCACTGATCCCAGTGGACTACCAGCTGACTGGCCAGCCCGTACTCGTCGGCGGCACCATGGGCACCTGCAGCTACGTGCTGACTGGTACAGAGCAGGGCATGCAGGAGACCTTCGGCAGCACCTGCCACGGAGCTGTAAGCTATATCTCAATCTATAAGCTATTTCCTTCTCATATCATCCCTCTCCGACTTCTGCCAGGGTCGCGCCTTGTCACGTGCCAAATCCCGCCGCAATCTCGACTACAAGGAAGTGCTGGACAAGCTGGAGCAAATCGGTATTGCCATACGCGTGGCCTCGCCCAAGCTAGTCATGGAGGAGGCTCCCGAGTCGTACAAGGATGTAACCGATGTTGTGGACACCTGTCACGCGGCGGGTATCAGCAAGAAGTGCATCAAAATGCGACCCATAGCGGTCATCAAAGGCTGAAAGCGTCCGTACTCTTAGGATATTTATTTTTGTGATTAAATCAAAGATGATTTATAATTAAAGGAGAAAACCAAATAAATATTATTGGTTTTGGCTTCGATGTTAGGTAGTCCCAGCATTGAATTTCAAGCGTTACTGCAATCTCTGGTCACTCTGGAAGCGCTCTGTAAGTGGCACTTTCCCGCATGGTAGGAAAATCGAATGGTGCGAATCACTAAGCGAGCGGCCTCTTTATTGAGTTATCAGACTCAAGCACATTTTTTGTTTGTTTCTATACTGCCGGATGGCATTACGTTAATGAACACAGAGAGATATTTCGGCGCGGAATGGAACAACGTAGAATATTGATCATTAGGTGGACACAGGATAGGCGGATCAAATACTTTGCACTTATTTATTCAAAACTATTTCCGTTTATTCGACTCTGGCTTGATTTGCAACACCCTCCAACTGGGAGCGGGTGGAAAACAACTTAGGCCGCCAAGGTACCTTCCAACAATTCGACCATGCTACCACGGTCTTTCGTGCTCCCCCTCTGTTAGTTGTCAGCTGTCAGCCAGCCGACCCCATCTGCACTTGACTTGCCTCACAGCGCGGTTTTCGGTTTCGCATTTGTTTCATTTAAATTTGTACTCGATTTGCCTAATTGCTGTTGTTAGCTAAGTGGCAAAGTGATAGAAAATCGATGCGAAATCGTGGGTGAATCGAACAAATTGAAAAGTCATCACATGTCACCAGAGCGAAGGGCTTTGCTAGCTGCGCAATAGTAAAAAAAAAGTTCGACCAAATCCTACACACCGTTGCCGGGCTTAATTGTGGAAGAAAAACAAACAAAATGACAAATATGCGCCCCCCGCAGAAATCCAAGCTGCTGAAGGTCGTCATACTGGGCGATGGGGGCGTGGGCAAGTCTGCCCTTCTCACACGCTTCGTGTCGAACCGCTATGAGGAGAACAACTTCCATACGATTGGCGTCGAGTTCATGAACAAGGACATCGTGGTCGACGGGGAGCGGTACACCCTCCAGGTGGGTTAAGCTTTAGCTCTAGCCTAGAATATTTCGTAATCTGCGCTACCGTTGGATGGGCTTGGAGGCTGAAGAAATCGCCAAGCGAAGCGTATATCCCTTCCGTTTCCTAACGATCCAATGTACACACTACTGATGTATATGTATGTATGCATGCATCCACAATATTAAAGATATGACGTTCAAACGACTGATATAAGGTAGTATAGCCAGCTTTACCAGTTATACACATAGTCAACCTTTTTTTTTTTGTTGGTCAGCGAAAGCTTTTAAAAGTTGAACAACGATCGAGCATTGTTCTTCCCTCTGTGCCATCCACAGTACTTGTGCTCGTAGTGTAGTTGTATCTGTTTCATCTGCGCCCCCATGCACACACACACACACACAGGCGCACATACATCAAATTTGTACTCAATTAACGTACAGTTTAGCATTGCAAAAAAAAAAGAACAAGAAATAATAAAAACAGTTCCTTTGCTCGACTTCAGACATCAGAGTATTTTTCATCATTCGCCGCCAACGCCGCCTTTTCTGCTCCCAGTTTGTTTTTTTTCCCTTTATGCTGCTGTCATGGAAACATGGAAATTAGAAGAACCAAAACACACAACAGTTTTCACAGACCGTCGAGCTCGGGAAGCTTATGAATATGGAGAGCGGCGCGTCTCAGTGAGTAAGCAAAGTGCAGCAAATTGCGGAGGAATGGAATAATGATTTTAATAGATGCAATCGATTGGAAAGCATAAGAATCTCAGCTCGTATGAGTAATGCTTGGAAAATGTTGCGTATTTATTTGAGGGAAATTGCTAAAATATTCCCAGGAACTTTGTTATGGTTAGTCATGCCCCATTCCCCGTGGTAAGCTCTAGAAAATGATGCCGGTTCACGGTTCGCTGATTCTTGGGCCCTGAAAAGAAGCGGGAATCCCATCTCATGCCAGAAGGAAACTACAAAACAGGAAATTCTTTCCGACTGGTATGGGTAAATTCCAGTAAATGCTAGTATTTCCCCTATGAAACGCAGAAATAATTTCCCGAGGAGCGAAAATCAAATAACGTCCCATGATCTGTGGAGATCATAGTGACTATGACATAAACTAAATTTTACAGCTGAAAGATATCTGAAAATTGCATTTGTTGTATGGAACAACCCGGCATGTTAAATTTGCCTCAAGTTTTTTAGTTTGGTTCAATTGCTTATCACCGAAGCTTCGTTATCAGTCCTTTGGGTCGGATTTGGGGGCACAGACTACCTCTGATACCAAATATTTGCAGAGCAAATAGTATGGCATGATATGGTTGCAGAGCAAATAGTATGGCATGATATGAGTCAGTGTAGACTCTGATTTCTGGCACGGTAAGTCGTTGAATGCCTTGAGAAGCACTGAATTACGCACGAGTTACGGAACGGAACAATGATGCAAATTTCAATGGAAGGCTAATTGAAGGTTCAATCTGAGTTGAATTGACGAATTTCTTTGTTTTCGCACGATTCAGATATGGGATACGGCTGGCCAGGAACGATTCCGGGCCCTGCGCACGCCCTTCTATCGGGGATCGGACATTTGCCTGCTCTGCTATGCCCTGGACGACCGGGACAGCCTGAGGGGACTGGGTCTGTGGCGCAACGAGTTTCTGACCTATGCCGACGTGGAGCCGGACAAGTTTCCCTTCATTGTGGTGGGCAACAAGGTGAGTGGAATAGCCATAGCCATATCTAAAATGTTAACCCCCGCAATGTCCTCTCCCACGCAGAACGACATCCTGCCGCATAAGCGCCAGGTCAGCTACGAGAGTGTCCAGCAGTGGTGCGCGGAGCAGAAGATTGCCTCCCACATCGAGACCTCCTCGAAGGCGGCGACGAATGTGAGCGACGCCTTTGTACTCGGTTTGCGCCAGTGGAAGCACTTGGAGTGCGTGGCCGAGGCCGAGCTCCGCCACAACGGCGACACCATCGACTTGACACGACCCATACGCCTCGTGCAGCGGCGCCTCTGCTGCACAGGAGGTGGTGGCGTCGGGGACGTCAACAAAGACGCGGATGGGGATGGAGATGGGGATGACGCCGCCATGCGCACCCCATCCAAGAAACTGTTCGGCCAGAAGCGCAGTGCACCGAAGGCGCCAGCTACCAATTACCGGCTATGAGCAGTGAAGCTGTCAGGGAATTTACGCTTAATTTAACCAATCGTCGTCTAGGGTCCGACCTCCTCTACACGCTATGCATTCCAATCGGAGGGGACGGTTTAGACAAGAAGTCGTTAAGCACAGACCAAAAAGTCAATCGATATGACATGACGTACATTTATATTGACTATGCTGAAGGAACCGATTGATATTCTAAATGAAGTTTTGGCATGAATGTTGGGTTTAATTTAAGCGTGACCGCCTTTACTTTGCAGATACTCGCACTGGAGATACAGATTGTTCAAAGATTCCACTGTACAATGATCCTCCTATGTTGGACGCACAATGTTTCGTATAAAATAACAATCTGATAGTATTTTTGATACTGTTAAATGTATAACATATATACGTGCATTTTGAATGTAATATAATACAACTGCTGATATAATTTTGTATACTGTATAACAGTCCAGTCCAGTCATATGTTACAGTACATAGAACTAAAAGATACCACAGCAGACACTTTGTATCCATTATAACAGCTTCAACCTCAAAAGATCGTGGGTTTCTTTATATACAAACTAATGGTGCCTTATTTTTGAACATTTTGAAAGTCGTGCATTTTGTATCCCACTTAGACGAAAACCATTCGAATGATGACTAAGAAACAAGACAGTAGCTAAAATGGATGAAAATTAATTTAAAGTATTAACATAAATTAAAAATGTACTTGTACTTGTACGGAAAATAGATTTGTATGATTTAAGTGCCTTAAACAGGAACAGAACAGAATGTAGTTGGTGTTTTTTTGTTTGTTGATGCTGTGAGAAATATATTCCGAATATATTAAAGTACAGAGTTAAGTAAAGAAATGGCCGCTTCAGAAAGTGCCTGGGTACGCACTGTAGCAGAAACATATATTGAATCTCTTTGATTCCATAAAACAGTACGCAAAAGAAATGATCTATATGGATACGTGTGTTTATATTTCAACGATTTGTATAATAAGTATAACACAATATAAATACGCTTACCCCGGATTAAGTATAATATGTACGAGTAAGTATAACACTTTTGCTGGATTGGAATTGGATCGATTAAGACTACGGCAAACTCTAGGCGCTGTCACGAACCGGACAAGCGTATAACAGACTGAGTGCTTAACTATTATATGCCTAACTTGCGCAAGTGCGACTGTGACTTTGACTGTGACTGTGACTGTGAGTGTGACTGCGGAGTGGGCACTTTTGGGGCATATTGGGGAAATTATCACTTGCTGCAGACCCGGGAGCCACACCGAGCAATCGGTTTACTTCTTTTTGTAGCCATACGAGTTAATGGCATCGAACTCGGTGTCGCACTTGAGGAGGAGCTCGTACCACTGGTCGCCGTCCACGCGCTTGAGTTCGAGAATGCCGCCGTAGGCAGCGGGCAGGCACTTGGGCGACATGTATTTGTGCAGGGAGTCGCGATCCGTGCCGTGGAAGATGATGCGGCTGCGCAGCTTCTCGCGCAGGAAGGGCTTGAAGAGGGCGAAAACCACGTTGAAGATCTTCGGCTGGTTCACGATGTGGATGGCCTTGATGCGCAATGGCACCGACTCCTGCAGCCAGTCGACTATGCGCTTGGCGAACGGCGGCGTGAACTGCCAGGTCTGCTGCAGACTCAGACCATCCATGTCGAAGATGACGACGGCTCCGTGGATCTGAGTCTCTGGCTCCAGCATGGCCGCCTCCAGGAAGATGACCGCCCCCTTGAACACCTCATCCAGTGAGACCTGCTTGTGCTTCCAGCGTTCTGTCAAAGTCAATGAGAGATTATAATCTAAACAGTCGAAGGCAACGCCGGAGAGCCTCGTGCCACTTACTGCCCAGCTCCAGTACCAGGACGCGACGTCCGCACTGATCGCGATTGGGAAAGACCGTCAGTATGTTGCTCTTGAAGATGTTGGCCTCACCCGAGGGCTTCAGGTTGTTGTACACGTCCGAGTGCTTCACCTTGAAGGAGTAGTAGCGTTTGATCTGCCAAAAGAGTCAACGTTCAGTGATGATAGGATCGTTCTTTTCGATATACATATTTAGATATTCCTACCAAATCGCGGGCACTCTCCGGATAGTACTTGCAGGGACGCAAGAATCGTATTAGCCACTCCTCGTTGTCCTTGGGATAGTGCAGATCGGTCTCCGCTGCAATCAATACTCCGATTAGTACTTCAAGGGAAACATGTATCCCTAGGTCAAAAGTCTACAGTCCAAGTACACCCCTCACGAACTGAACTTTGAACTCTGAGGTTACAAAAATACAAAATCACAAAACTAACATTAAGCCGATTAAGTTCTCGGTGTACCTACACACGTATGGATGAACATGTATATTATTATAAAGATCTAACGATCGTAGAACTTATCATTACATGACAACCCACTAGACAACAATAACCAACTTTAGCCTTCGGATATATAACCTGTGATTAGTGGCATGAGATTGTCAGGCAATAAATTGGGAGAACAGATTTTGAAAATATTATTCCTATCATCCCGGAAATCCCAGATGATTGATCAGCACTTACCCTGCAGCAAACGTGCCAGCTCCTTGGCGGCCTCCTTCTGGCGTTCGGGAGCTTCGCGCAGCTCCTTGATGGCCACCTCCTTGCCCATGGCCGTTGGCTCGCCCAGCTCGAACTGGAGCGTGAAGTCGCCCAGTTGGATCGAGGGCAGCTGATCGATGTCGGACAACATTGTGGGCACTCCTGGAGGGCATCGCATCAGTTACGAGGGAGAACAGAATCGATTAGTATGCACTAAGCAATAAGCGAGAGCTTCTGTACTTTGAGCTCTGAAGTGTGTTTTAGGGTCTAGGCGCGCTTGAAACTTCAAGCAACCAACTAAGTGGCTATGTATTAGAACCGATTGGCAATTAGTTAGCCATATATGAATGTATGAGTGTAGGCATGATGACGGTTCAAATACTAAATCATTACTTACTCATTTTGCAATTATCTCTCTACTTTTCGATGCTAAAATTCTTTTGTAATAATATTCAATTGCTGTGTTGCTTTCAAGCGGATTCAAGTCGAACACAATCTGTGTTTGGCTTGTGAAAAATTGTGCACTCTATTTATAGGTAGGCGGAGAGAGAATTTGAATTCATTAATAAGACAAATGAATCGGAACCGGCTTGGAAACTGCATCGAAGACTTCCCCACTTATTGATCTCGTTATTGATCACCTGGCCAACCTGCCCTTCACCTTCACCTTGACATTCGCATTCGCATTCGCATGGGTATCGTATCGGAAGCTGAATTAAAGCAAAGCAAAGCGCAAAGATTTTGCAGCATCGGAAACGATGGATTCCCGTTGAGGGTTATCCTCAATGCAATTCCTGCTAGTCTCAGGTGATCTTTCATCAGACAAAATGCGAAATGCCTTGAACTGAATTCAAAGCTGAATCTCTTGACAAGTTCTACTTGAGCAGATTCTGGTGGAACGAGTTTTAAATTACGAGTGCAAACAAGTACTCGGACTAAGTATACATGCAGATGTACATATGTACATAGGTATCGATCTGTATGGAACATATGTATGTATATATTTCAAATGAAATGGAACCATTGGAATTAACACCATAAACTGTTCATCTTATGGCGCAGATCTACCATTTTCATGAACCAAAACAAAAGACTCGGAAATTAGCATGAGGTGCCTGGGCCTGACATTGAATCACTTTAATTAGATGGGCCAGGTGATTCGTTCGAGATCTTTCATTCGGAGATAGAGCTTTGTGAATCAAAACAATTCGCAGCTTTGCCAAAAATCGTAGATAATCGTAGATAATCGTTGATATCACAAAATTATGCATGGCTAATGGGTGCATGGGTGTCTGTCTGGTTGTCTGGGGCTGGGAAATACAAAGTCTAGTCGAATAATTTAAGTAGTACGCACAGAGCACAACACAAATGGAAACTTGTTTGGTAAGCGACTTCGACAACCGCGATTTTGGCCAAAAGCGGCCACAAAAAGGAGGCTAAGTGAAACGCGTGCAGCGGGGCCGAAAGCGCAGATGAAACTGTTGCGGCCAAAAGCGCGTTGCGGAGATTTTATGCCAGGCCAAGAATCGAAACTGGATTTGGAAGAGCGTCGCAGCCGGAGCTACAGCTACAACTACAGCTGGAGATGGAGCTGGCACTGGGAGAGCGAAGCTCGGTATGGTCTGAACTTGAGCATGACATTCACGTGTGCCAGCCAGCCAGAAAGAGAAACAGATGGGGCTGGGTGCATCATCATTGGGAAATATTGCTTGCAAAAGCCGGTTTCGATTTCAGTTTCAAAGTTTTTTCAGCTGCTGATGCTGATGCTGAAGCTGAAGCTGGGATATTCCATTTCGTACTTTTACGTTTTCTTCGAGTGTAATTGCACAGCAGAGCAGTCTGTAGTCTGTAGTCTGGCTGTAGGCCTTTACTATCCTATGCTGACGCTGACCCTGAACAAGTTGTACTATCCGGTTTCAGTGTTTATACGCTACGCTCTATGCCAATTAGTGCTTACACCTGTCCAGCAATCATAGTCGAGGCATATTTTGTATAATTAGCACGTCTCCAAGCCACAGCACAGCCCAGTCCATCACCTCACCTCACCCTCACCCTCACCCTGTAGACATGATCTTTCGCCGCCTCGCCTGCCTTTGGGCAAGTCTCTCGATCGCTCAATCGCACGATCGCACGTGCGGAGAGTAGACTTGAGTCCCATTCATGGTTTTACGCTTCGTTTATACTCTCGTTTTCGTTTGGGGTACATTTATGGTCTATTTTCAGTGACGAACCGAACTTGAGCTGGAAACGGAGAGCCGGCCACAAGTTGGCTGCCATAACACCGAGAAGATTGGGACTGGGGTAAAGTACGACAGAGACTGGGGTTAAGACCGAATGCAATGTCAACCTCTACCCTTCGTTGTTGTTGCAACAAAAAAAAGAGAACACAAAAGAAACCAAAACATTAAATAAAGAAAGAAACTGGATTTTTAAGATCTGGCAATGGCAAGGGCAGTTCCAATGTAAAAAGTGCTTTGACCTTACTCTGCAAAAAATTGTAAAAAATGTACGTACATATGTATGTATGTATGTTTATATATATGTACATACAAGTACGAGCTTGTTTGTGGCTGTGAAATTCACAATTTTGCATGAGTTGAGACATAACCAGTTAAAGGTACATACTGCCGACTATGGAATACCCGCTAATCGGCTTACTGACTCACTTCACTTCACCTCACCTCACCCGATGGAAATGCCATATGCTAGTACTGGTTCTGAGAATGGTGGATACCACAGCTTTTTCAGGGAAAGCCTGGTCTATTGGTCGGGAAATCGGAAACGCCTAGTTCTGTTATTTGTTCCATCTCCTCGTGCAGCGTAGCGGGTGTTGGTAGCCAAAAAATCAATAGAATCGAGGAACCCCTGAATGCGGTAACAGTGCACACTCATTTGCGAGTCAGTGTGTAGGAGCAACGCCCACAATTTCTGTGTACATTAAACAATGCTTATATTAACTATAAATTTCGCCGTTTCTCACCCGAGTCGAAAGTAGCCACACGAGATAGAGCCACCGCCGCTGACGTGTGATGTTGGGGCAGGCCGTGGGCTGCAGCTGCAGCTGCAGTGCTCAGCATTTTCATGCTGGTGAGAATCAAAACTCGAGACCACTCACGAACACGCGATGCAGCATCAACTTGCGATATTGGGAATGCAAATAATTTAATATATTTTAAGCAACACAAGTCGCTGCAAGTCGAACACCACACGAAGCACACTCGAAATGGGTCAATGCCAGTAAGTTACTGAACCTTACATGAGATTCTCGAGCGGACGACGAACCAGCCACCAGCATAGCACCGGCCGAATGGGCATGTAAGAGGAATGTTCGCAAAAAATAAATGAAAAAGTAGAGGAGAATAAAGGGGAAACAAATACACGAAAGCCAAAGCATCGACGTTTATACGAGTACGATAGGATACCCTCGCTACGACTATAGTCGTTCTTGGTGCATTTTGTGTATTTTCTAAAGCAGCTTTGTGAGGAGTTCCTCTTCTCCGATTTAGATTTGACTTGAAATGAAGAGCCAATTCTTTGCGAGTTCATAATGATATTATGATTTTTATTCTTTGCTGTGCGTTACAAACAGCTGACTTCAGTTGTGATACCCTGTAGACAAAGCTTTAGTGAGGGATGAGTATTGTTACGGTCAGGCGGACATTGAATTTGTAATTGCTCAAGCTCAAAGAGCAGAAAAAAAGCCCGAACAAAAGAAACCAAAGAAAGCGTGAGATATCTGCGTATATACACTGAAACTGAAACTCACCGAAAGGTAATTAATCCAAAAAAAGGGGCTCCAAGTGGTTGTACTGAGATTCTTATTGGGCTCGCTCTAGATTGTGTATCTAGCTCGGATCACGTTTATAGACTGGAAATATAAAGCGGCTTGTCAAATCATTTTATACCCCACCAGCCCATGTACATATATCGCTCATTACACGTACTCGCACATACTCGTACATATTTATATTAAAGTTATTAAGAAACGAACGCCAGGCCAGTGAGAATAGTCTGCCTGTCATATTAAGCCACATTTAATAGGCCATTAAAAGCAGCCAGAGGGAGAGGCAAGCTACGAAAACACGGCTACGAACTACTACCGATTGGCTTGTCTTGTCTTGGGGTTTCTTTTCGTAAATCAAGTTCAAAAGTCGCGGGTATGCTTGTGTAGGAAAGCACTGAACAAGCATTTTATACGTACAAATAATATACGCACTTTTTTCTTATTTTTCTGCTCGTTTGTTTCAGTTAATGGTTAAACGAAACAAAGCGTATATTCTGGCATATTAAATTCTTTTTGCCAAGCAATTCGTTGAATGTTGCATTAATGAGAGCTGCACCACAGTTACACGTTATATTATTAGTCGAGTGACTACTACTATTGTACATACAGTACATAAGCACATAGCACTTAATCTTCCTTTAAGTCTCCTATCATTATCGAATATAGCTTATAGATAGAATGCATTTTATTCGCACTTTTGTACGTTCATAAACGACTTGTGGCACTTGATTACTTATAGAAAGTATTGCAATTTCTACTAATGTGCACTTCACTTAAAATTTGTCTGTTTACTTTCTCAGCTGTTTTACGCACTGTTCGATCATGTAATACAATGTTCTTGCAGTTTCTCGCAGTGTAGTTTCTGTTCATCTTCTTCTGATAGCTTTTTACATAACATACGCGACATAAACGCAATTAGAATTGAACTTTTGAACGCGCTCAGTACACACAACTAGTTTAAAGACTACTTAATCGCCAGTACTCCTCGGCTGCCATATACATACATATGTATACACATATACGAGTACGAGTACGAGTATACAAATGCAAATATATGTTTGTATGTATGTAGCGTATGTATCTTTGTAAAACTTGTTATAAATCTCTCTTACGGGTCGCTTAAATGGTCGTTCGGTCAGCCGTAGTTAATACTTTAGTAATCAAAGGCCAGCGCGCGTTTACTTTCAGCTACGGGGATTGTTGGTTCAAGACCTCCAGATCTCTTAAGTCTTGGATATAGTAAACGAGACGTGCCGAAGTCTAGCAGCGATCAGCGATGGCGATGGAGACTTGCGTGCCCGCGATCCACGATCAAATGAACAACTGACGGGTCGGGTGGTGGGTAGCGCAAACTCATTTGCCTTTGGTTTGAAGCTCGAGCAATTAATTAAGTATTTCGCTGCTTGTTGTGTTGTTTCCAAATGTATTTCAATTTCATTTTCTTGCACTTGCCTGAGCTGAGCCCATTCTGTCCTGCCCTGTCCATCCGTCCGATCCACCTAAGTCACCGCCAGTCCGTCCGATTGTCAGTCAGTCAGCCAGGCGGCAGTCACCTTCATTCGGGAGCGGGAGCTACGTCAGCTCTTAAAGTCCAGCGGGATTTGGCCAGGCAACCAAATTGCAATTAGCTTAGACAAAGTACGTGTTGCTGAAAGCTGAAAGTAACCCAATGATGGCATTAATCAATTTACAAACACGCGATCTGGCTGACAGCTGCTGATACACAGAGCAGAACAATAGACAATCAATTGTTATCAATTATTTACATGCATTTAATTTGAATGTCAAATTCGGAGAGAGAGAGAGACCCCCATACAATTGAGTGGCCTTTAGAGCTTAAGTTAGATTACAGTTATAATTAATGAGAGAGTTGCTTACGTTACGGCCAAGTCCAATATCGTTACACTTATGGCAAACTACGGGAAGTCGATCTACAGCCGATCTACTACGTTCCAACTACGAATTATCTTTGTATTGTCGAGTATAAAAAAGTACGTTTTACTAAACGAAGGGATATTGTGCATTCAATTGTTGCTAGATATTGCTTACGATCAACTAGAAAAGCGCTCTGCTCTCGAGTGTTACACAGCAGGGTTTTTTGAGGCTTAGACTACATACATTCATACATACATACAAAATGTTCGATTAATATGTCAACGATATTCAATGCTTAAGTCTTTAGTGTCTTTCACAAAGTCGTTTCACTTGCTTTTAAGTACAGATCAAATCTAATTTGCATATTTACAGCACAAGCATGGGAGAGTGGAAAGGACTGCTACACAACGGAAGTCGGCTTGATTCGCCTGCGACTCCTGCTGCGCCTACGCGATCATTTTGGTCGAATCTTCTCGTACATGAACTTCTGCAGATGCTTGTTGTCCGGCTGCATCAGTTTCTTCTTGTTGAACTCGAACTGAGCCAGCGCAAACTCGTAGAGGTCGTTCTCCATTTGCCAGATCTTGGTCTTCTGTATGCTCTTGATCGTGGATTCGCTGGGCGGAAGCTTTGAGGACGTCACGCGTAAATGAGATTTATTGGAAGTTTGATAGTGCTCACGAAAGCCATGGAAGATTCTGGAAACCAGAGAGTTGAGTTTACAATTTTAATTGGATTTCAAATCGTTAAAGGGGCAAGGAGGCAGTATTACCTGGGTAGCGATCTCTCCAGCAGATCTACAAATTCATACATTTGCTCGGTGACTCCGACTAGAAAGTATTCGTTGACCAGATTGCGCTTGGCCTGGTCGAGGGCCCAATCGCTGCCGGGTTCCCAGCACTCGGCAGCGTGGCCACAAAAGAAGGGTATCTGCAGCCACATGTTCTTGGGATCACAGTCGGGTTGCTTCTGAACCACGCACTCGTCAAACGTCTATGTCGTACAGACCGAATCGAGAGAAGTGATTATAAGGTATTATGGATGTGGATGGATAGCCCGTTGAGTACTCACAATTTTATTGCCTGCCTTCTTGCGCACTAAATTCGGTCGATAGTTGTCGCCAAAACGCAGGAAGTAGTAGTAGGAGACCAGCCTGTCCAGGGGCTTACGCACTAGGTTTATATAGATGGGTTTGTGGGCTATTTGGAATCTGGATAATCAGACTTTAGCAAAGATTTTATGGCATACGATTATGATACTGATCTTACTTGGAGAAATCCAAAAACGCCATGTGGCCGTGGTAGAGCGCCGGCTTCATCTCATGCCACTTAGAGACATTTCGCACAAAGGCGATCTGGTTTGGAAGCGACAGGACATGCATATTGGCAGTAACGTTTATGTGCAGAACGTGGTATTTGTTGAGCTTGCACAGATCGTAAGCTATGTTGACGAAACTAGTCGAGCCTGTCTTTGGCACACGGTTGTAGAGCACAAGCAGCTGTTCCTCGTAGTCGAAGCTGTCCACAGCGGCCGTCGCAACAGGAGCACCTAAAGATTGCTCCAGAGCGCTGCCACCCTCCGTCACCTTGGTGAACGGCTTGAAGGCTGCTCAAACAATCAATTCAGTAAGATTATGATCCCAGATAAGGGGTGAAACAAAACAACAAACCATTGTCCAGGCGAATTTCAGACCAGAGCAAAAAATAGCCAGCACAGGTCAGAACGCAAAGGGCGATGAGTACTAGCCAGTGTGTGGGGCGCAGAAGAATCAACATCTTGAGCATTTTCCTATATAACCCGCCGGCCTAGTTTCGCTAATGGATGCACATTTTGAGCCAGTATTTAGCTTATTCTGTGCTGTTTTTGCATGTTTTGTTTGACTTTTTTGCAATCACCTGAGCTTAGTATTGGACAACGTTGAATTAACGACGCTTCGCAGCACTGCATTTAGAAAATAACATTTGAGTTTTAACATATCGTTAATTATTCTGTTATTAAATTAACAGAGCAGAAATTCTGTAGTCAAATTTGCGCCGGAAAGTATTTTAGTATTTCGGCGCACTTCTTCAGTATCTTCACTAACCATACAGTATAAAGATGTGTCAGTTCATACAACAAATGTGGCGTAGCTGAGTGTTCTGTCCATTCGGCTGTGGTGCTGAGACGTTCGGGTCGTGGGCCTGAGACGTTCGGCATTTTTTCGACATGTTCGATTCATGACGAGAAGCGAAAGCAAGCCGAGAATTTCAAGTGTGTGTGTGTAGTGTGTGCCGCTTGAACTGAATTTGGGTTTTTCGTTTTGTTTTGAGGGCTGATGTAGCGACCTGAGCTGACCTGCCGCAACATAAATGAGGAATGGGCAGAGCATAATTCATATAAAAACAGGTCTCTAAATTTATTGAAAAAGTTGATATTACGGCAGCAACGAAGTCGAAAGCCGACGGCATTTCCACAAAATTTATTTACATAAGTAACAACAAAGATACAATACATTTTTGTACATTTCTTATCATATATCTGCTCATATCTCCTAAACTAAAATTATCTTGAAAATAATATAATTGCATCATGGTCTCATGTCCGCTACCCGACCGTCTCAGGTCCAACAGCCGAAGACCTGGGGACCTGGGACAGAAACCTCAGCTGCGCCCCTTTCGTTGTATGAACTGGCACATCTATATACTGTATGGTTAGTGGTTAGGAGCTTTGGCCCTATGCTTTATGCCTTTTTGAATCTCTTTTTCTAGCTGCCCTGCCTATGTTGCCCGCGTACATGACCATTTGAGGGGAATTGTTCTGAGGTCCAGCTCCAGCGTGTAGAAGCGTCCACGGGACCGGAGTACCAAGCTTCAGTACATTTACGGTATTTTTGGTATATTTCTGTGGGTCATACGGTATATTTTATGGATAAGCCTGCGGTCACACTGATCTGATGCCAATATTCAAGCGCCAATTTTTTGCGAGGTTAAAGCAAATTTTGCAGCCGGCGTAGAGCTGTAAGTGATTGATAGTTGAGCCATCGATAGTTTTGAATGTTTAAAAAAAAACAATCGATTTTATCGTAATAGTATCGGGCTCAAATAATTATTAAAAAACCATTGAAACCTTTTAGGAACTTGTCCATTGTAAAAATTAGATGCCTCCTGTCGATTTGTTTACAAATTTGTCTTCGTATTTTATAGCAGCCAATCCAAACATATCAAAAGCGCAACGACTGTAGCTCGATACTATCATGATAGTCGCAAAACCGTCGATAGTAGAGGCTAGCAGTAAAATATCGATAGTGCCCTCGATGGTTTGACACCTCTACTAGGCGCCTATTTTTTGCGAGGTTAAAGCGAATTTTGCAGCCGGCGTCTTCAATTAAGAATAAGTACAGTGCTAAGAATTGTTGAATCATGTCGATGTCTACCTTCAACTTTGCGAGCATGGCGGCCCAAATTACCGAAGAACAGGGTATATCATTCCAGGACAAAGCTAAAACCTGGGACTCTGCATCAGATGGTAAGTGGGAAGGGAACGACGCCAAACATTGCACACCGAAGTGTACGCTCTGTATCTTGTTCTACAGTTCAGGAGGTGGTGGATGCTCTCAACAACCAGGCAACGGTTAATTTCCTGAACCTTGATGGAAACACGCTGGGAGTGGAGGCGGCCAGAGCCATTGGCGAGGCCCTGAAGCGTCATCCGGAGTTCCGCAAGGCGCTGTGGAAGAATCTGTTTACTCGCCGTCTTAAGGCGGAAATTCCAGAGGCCTTGCAGCTCCTTGGAGCCGGCTTGATTGCAGCAGGAGCGAAACTGACGGTTTTGGATCTGAGCGACAATGCCCTTGGCCCCAATGGCATGCGTGGATTGGAAGTATTTCTGCGCTCGCCAGTCTGCTACTCGCTTCAGGAGCTGCACCTCTACAACTGTGGCCTTGGCCCCGAGGGTGGTGCCATGTTGTCCAAGGCTCTCATAGACCTCCATGCCAATGCGAGAAAGGCGGGAACTCCGCTCCAGCTCCGTGTCTTTGTGGGGGGACGTAATCGCCTAGAGGACTCTGGCGCCAAGGCACTGGCAAAAGCGTTCGCCACTCTGAAAACGTTGCAGGAGATTGTCCTGCTACAGAACTCAATATATTTGGAAGGGGTTAAAGCTCTGGCCTATTCATTCAAGGCGAACCCCCACCTGCGAGTGCTGAACATGTACGACAACACCGTGAAGTCCAAGGGCGCTGATGAGATAGCCGAAGTCATTAAAAGCCTGACAATGTAAGTGTAGTACTGTACTGTGTGGAACTCTCGCTAATGACATTATTTATTCCCCTTGAAACTTTTGCCATGCAGGCTGCGGGAGATCCACTTTGGCGACTGCCTTATAGGCACGAATGGCGCCTATCAAATTGCCGAGGCTTTGGAAAACTCAAATAACGATCTCGAGGTGATTGACCTGAGTTCCAATGAGATCAACTCTGATGGCGGTCTGGTGCTGGTTGCGGCCATTCAGAACAAGCCGAAGCTTCGTGTTCTTAACATTGATGGAAATTGCTTTGGCCATGAGGGCTGCGCGCAGATCATTGAGCAGATGTCCACTTATGGCAATGCCGATGCTCTGCAACCTTTCGAGGAGGACGAGGACGAAAATGAGCCCGAAGAGTCCAGCGAGGAGGAGGAGGAACAGGAGTACGATGATGGGAACGACGAGTACGACGAGCATGAGCACGCCAATGATACGACCGAAGAGGCCGACGAAGATGACGATGAGTATGCCGAGGAGACCGCCTATGTGACCACCAATGCATACACCACTAAGGTTTGTAGTCGCGCTAATGCCCATGCACCGATTCGAATTATTCTCCTGTAATCCATCTGTCTATGCAGTTATTCAACGAATGGACAGACTCCAAGGCCAGCGACACCTTTGCCATCGGAAACCAGTCGCCCACCAAGAGTTGCAACCCCGAACAGTTCTGCCTGAGCCAGACGCCCTGCTCTCTGCAACAGTTCGAGTCCCTCGACGATGAGAACAATCTGCAGGCTCTACAGGGGATTATAAATGTGAGTTGAGCCCTTGTTGGTCTTTATCCCACATGCCGCACCGCTGACGCACGTTTCACTTCGCCATTTCCCTGCACAGCAATTCACTGGTGACAATCATTTGCTGCTCCTCGTCTTCACCACTCTGAAGTGCGCGCATTTGTCGCAGTTATCTCAGCCGGCCCTAGAGCTCGCCGTTTCACTTTTCCAGGCCACATTCGACTATGCCTTAAAAACCAAGCAGGAGACACGTGTCCTAAACTATGTCCTGAAGCAGTTGGGCCTTTTGCGCTGCGAGGAGACCTTCAAGACAGACTACGATGTGAAAAGTTGCCGCCACGCCCTTCGCGAGGCACTGCAGAAACCCCACTTTGCCAATGACAACATCAAAAACACATTTAAGCTATTTCTTGATAAGGTCGATGCTTAAACTGATCCTAAATTAAGCCTTTTCAATTAAAATGTTATCAAATTCCACTTCTTTGGTGAAGAAAATATATGCGTATGTATGTCTTATATAAATGTTTAAAGGTGTAATTATTTTCGACGTTGGCAGGTTCATGTAAAAGGTTTGAGGGAGTTTAATTCGTAGATGAAATTCTTCACAATTCATTGAAAATTTGACCACACAGTATAAAAATCTTGAGTCTAGTGGGTGTGGGCCTTCGGGCAATATCCTTACATTTCCGTATTAACCTTTTGGAGTTACAATATGCCAAAATTATAATAACTTAATTCTGCCATACCGTATCCCTGGAAAGACCTGTTTTATTTTTGTTTTCCTTCGCCCTTCCTATCCAAGCTTCCCTTTTTACACCCGTATATTAGAATTTTGTTAAAGTGGATGTGTGCAACGCAGAGGAGGAACTGGGTCAGGTCGGACCCCATAAAGTGTGTATATTCTTCATCAGAATCAATACCCGAGTCAATAAAGCCATGTCTGTCTGTCCGTCCGTCTTGTTTGTTACCGAGACTATAAGAGCTAGAGCAACCAAATTTTGCCCGCCCCCTCCCGCCCCCACAAAGGACGAAAATTCGAAGATACGAAAAAACTAATATCGTAGAGAATGACCATATTAAGATTGGATCAGTTCTATAGCCAGAACGAAGAAATTAATTTTCAGGCGTCCACAGAAGCGACTCACAACGTTCCTTCTCGTTTTATCTTAATCGATTGTAAGCAGGTAATAGTTAACCAAATAACGCCTATCCGAGACCTGGATAACTCAATTTTAATTTATTATATGTATCCCATGACTTTATGCTCTGATGACGGGATTGGTCTTTTAAGCGGTCATCAGAACATGGACAGAGATGAGTCCCGGCTAAATTGGGTAAAATTTATTTATTTACATGAAAAATTTTATGAGTTTAAGAACTATGTTTATAAAACATGTTAATACATCGATAGTATGTGTATGTGTATGCGTATTTCTGCTGGTGGATTATTCACTGCTCTCCGACTGGGAGCAGCTACAGTAGACGAATGTAATGAAGTGGTTTCCTAAAATACAAATTAAAACACCAATAAAAATAAACATTCATTGATGATGGGGGGTAACAGGAGCAGGGATGAAGAAACAAAGCGGGTTCCGAGAGCAGAGTGGATAGTGTAAACTTTTGACTTTTTCCATTGGGCAGGGCAGGACAGGAAAGACTATTGCTAGTACCGAGTCTCCGAGATGCTTGCCAAATACTTTTCATAGAATTATGCGAGACCCTGGAGACCTTGAAACGATTTTCTTGTGTGTGTTCGTTTCCCTCAGAAATCAAAGTCGGAATCATCATCATCTTCATTGTCATCGTCCTCATCGCTTTCGATGACGGCGCGCCTCTTCTTTGGCGGAGCCTTCTTCTTGGATCCGCTACTGCTGGTGTCCTCATCGCGTGTGCGCTTGACCGGCCGCTTAATGGGGGAGTCGTCGCCATCATCCTCGCCGCTGCCAGCTTCGCCATTGGATGCCGCGGCAGCGGCTTCCTCTTCATCGGAAAAGAGAGAGCTGTAATCGATCTTTTTGCTAGCCGCCCTGCGACCAGGACGCACTGCTCGCGGCTCCACGACTTCCACGCATTCCACATCGTCCCCGCTGTCATCAGATTGTGCTTTCTTGCTCTAGGAGGAATATAAACATATAAATTAATAAATAAATAGGAATAGGAATTATGTATGTATTCCCTCACCTTGGCCTTGCTGAAATCAATCTTTCCCTGCTTCAGGCCGCCACCATTCTCCTTCTTCTGGCGCGGTTTTTTCTCGGCCGGTTCCTTCTTGGCGGCCGGCTCCTTTTTGACGGCTGGTGCCTTTTTGGCCTTTGGAGATGTCTTTGGTCCAGCCTCGACCAGAGCATCGAATTCGTCCACCTCCTCGACGGCCTTCGTTTCACCCGGCTCAGATTTGACCGCTTTGCCTGTTGGCTCCTTCTTGACTCTGGTGGCGACCTTGGCCGCCGCTGCCATCTTCTTGACAATTTCGTCGGTTACCTTGAACTCGACACGCTCGCCATCCGGATCGGGGAAGACATCCCCGGTGGGAGCCGCCGCTGAGCCCTTAACCTTCCTACCCTTGGCCGTGGTAGCCTTTTGGCCCTTCATGGCCTTGGCTGTCTTCAGATTAACGCCCTGCTCTTCGAGGCGCTCCTTCTCCTCAACCTCGTTCAACTTCTGCTCCAGGGCATCGAGATCATCCAGCCAGAGAAGCTGGGGAGTCCGCTTGCGCAGGTTCTCCAGCTCGCTCAGCTTGTAGTCGCGCTGCTTGAGCAGCTCGTTCTTCTTCTCCTCGGTCAGCATCCACATGGACATACCCAAAAGGTAGTCGAACTTCTTCACGTCCGTTAGCTTCTTGAAGGCTTTGTCGGGGTCAACCTCCTTTTTGACATCCTTCTTGCTGCTGCTGCTCGGAGCCGCCTGTTCGCTCTCTTCGTCCTCCTCCTCCTCGTTCTCCGGTTCGGCATCTTCCATCTTGATGCGGCGCTGCCACTCCTTGACCGGGTCTGGGCGATACCCGCGCTTCGTCAGCTCATCGCACATGGCCTTGCGCTGCTTGTTCTCCACCACCAGCGTCTTCTCGCACTTCTCCAGAATGAAGCGAGCCTGGTCGCTCAGTCGGTCCGCTAATGCCGTCAGCTGGCCCACCAAATAATCCTTTCTGCGTGCGTAGTACTCCACGCGCAGCTCGTAGAACTCCTTCAGTACGTCGGAGGACGAGGCGAACCGCCTCAGGCAGTTGTTCTGATCGAAGGCGTGCATCTGGTTGATGGAAAGGGTGGCACTCAGCTTGAACACGCGATAGAATCCGCCGTCCTCGGACCGAATACGATTGAACTCGCCTGGTGCGAAGCTGATCACGAAGCGGACTGTGGTGTCTGTGTGGTATTCCCGATATTCCGCCACAATGGCCTTGACCTTTTCCGTGCCGTTCGAGAGCGGCTCGAGGACGTTTTCCTTGTAGTTTTGCGTCCATACGCCGACAGGGAGTTCGGTGATCTCGACTCGGTCGCCTGGCAAGATCTGTATGCTGCCGGTGTGCACGTAGCGTCCGTCCGAGATGTACTCCATACGTCCAGTGAAGTTCTTGTACCACGGATGCATCTGCAGGGGCTCCTCCCCGTTAATCATGCGCCTCAGATTCCTGGTAATCTCGCGGGGATTGTAGTTGGCTATCTTGGTGGACCATCCGGTGCCGATGCCCTCGGCTCCGTTCACCAGAACCATCGGTATGATGGGCAGATACCACAATGGCTCGATCCTCTGGCCATCATCGGTCTGGTACTCCAGCAGCGGATCGTCCAGGGGGTGGTAGATGAGGCGCGTCAGCGGCGACATCAATGTGAAAATGTAACGAGCGCTGGCACAGTCCTTGCCGCCCGTCAACCGAGTACCGAACTGACCGCGCGGCTCCAGCAAGTTGATGTTGTTCGAGCCGACGTAGTTCTGGGCCAGATTCACGATAGTCATCTGGAGGGAAACCTCGCCGTGGTGGTATGCCGACATCTCAGCCACGGAACCAGACAGCTGGGCCACCTTCACCTCGCGCTTGTCGTTGCGCTTGAAGCAGGTGAACATGACCTTGCGCTGTCCCGGCTTGAGGCCATCCACCAGGCTGGGGATGGAGCGCTCGTTGTCCGCGTTGGAGAAGAGCACCAGCTCGAGATTTATGAAGTCAGAGTAGCTGATGTCCTTGGTGCCCTTGGTGTAGAGGTAGCGCTCGGGCAGACCCAGCTCCCTGCGGCGCTTCACCTCGTCCATGTGGTTGGTGAGCCAGACCTTGCGCGATTCGATGTGCTTGCGGGAGAAGGCCATCAATATGTTTTCATCATCATCCGGTCCGCCGTACTTGAAAAGAATGCGATGGCGCTCCATGTCCTGGAAGTACTCTTTCGCCTCCTTGGAGGTTGAAGTACCCAGACCCTTGTAGTACTTGACGTTGTAGGTGTGGTGATTTGGCGTATCCATCTTCCATTCCTCGAACTCTGGCAGCGAGTAGAACGAGAGCTCCTCGTTCTTCTTGGTGACCTTCACAATTGGGGTGATGAATTCCTCGAGGAAAGGCAGGCGCAGCAGCTCCGGCCAGTTGGTGTGCACAAAGTTGATCAGCAGGCCCTTGATGTGGGAGCCGTCCTGGTCCTGATCTGTCATTATCATCACCTTGCCGTACCGCAGCGTCTTCAGGTCTTCCTCGCTCAGATACTTCTTCTTGTACTGGAGGCCGATGATCTTGCACAGATTGTTGATCTCGGCATTCTCCGAAAGCTGCTTGAAGTTGGCTTCGCGCACATTGAGCAGCTTGCCGCGCAGCGGGAACACCCCGTAGTAGTTGCGACCAATCACGCCCAGGCCGGAGACGGCCAGCGACTTGGCTGAGTCTCCCTCCGTCAGGATGAGCGTGCAATTGATAGAGTTCTTGCCGCCGGCCTCGTTGGCATCCTCCAGCTTGGGTATGCCCTTGATCTTGCTCGACTTCCTGCCCCCTGTCTTGGCTATGTCGTTTTGCGCCTTGAATTTGGCCCACGCCAGCACAGACTCCACAATGCCCGACTTGGACAGACTGGATATGAACTTGTCGGACAGCGTGCACTTGGAGCCGAAGCCCTTCGTCTGCAGGGTCATATTTTCCTTCGTTTGCGAGTCGAAGGTGGGGTTCTCGATCAAACAGTTTACGAAGATCCACAGATGGTTGCGCACCTGGAAGGGCTTGATGTTGATTCCGCCTAGCCAAGAGAAATGAAGCGTTAGACACTGTAGCTCGATAGCATCATAGGGCCTAGTAGACGGGCATTACCTTTGTTTTTCTTCTTGAGCACCTCAATGAGCTGCTTGATTACGTTATCCACAACATGGTCGACATGTCTGCCGCCCTTTGTGGTGGCTATGGAGTTCACAAACGACACCTGCTGGAAGCCGCGGTCGGAGGGACAGCAGGCCACCTCCCATCGCTCGTTGGCCACCTCGTGTACTATCTTTATGGGCTGACCGCAGTCGTCGTCCTGGTTCTTCACGTGTAGATCAATGTAG